AACTGCAGGTTTGGGCTGGAGACCTCCTATATGCTTTCCCCCCATTCTCCATGATCCCTCGCACCCTTCTACACTCTTGCGGATATCAGGCCGAACTGGTCCTAGTGACCCATTCTGGGAAACACAATCATGGTTCCTTCAACGTCTCAGGATGACAGTGGATTATCAGACTGTTGCCACCCTCCCAGGAACTTCTACTGGATCAGATAGGGTGTTGCCACCCTCTCCGGTTAGAGGGCTCCTCACGCTCCTGGCGTGGCGGATTTCAGGGGACCCTGGGAGGTCCAGGGTGCTTCGGACACTACCAGACGCCTACTGGCAGCGACATAGGCTCCTGGCACTAGACGGGCATATGGGTCAACTTGGCAAGCTTAGTCTGGTTTGTGCCTGGCTCGGGACATGGATCCTGTTTCAGCCCCTGTAGCTGTGGTCCTACGGTTCCTGACTTCCCTCTTTGAAGCAGGTAAGGCATACAGGACCATCAACCTATATCGGTCGGCCATCTCCTCAACACATCAGGGGTTCGACGGCTGCCCGGTGGGCCAGCACCCCTTGGTGTGCCGGCTCCTCAAAGGTTCTCGACTCTCTTGGCCACCCAGACCGCGCTACACCGTGACCTGGGATGTATCGGTGGTGTTATCCTTCCTCACTTCTTGGCCCACTAATTCCGTGCTCTCCAACAGACAAGCTTGTCTGTTTGTTTTGTCTCATCTCCTGTAAAAGGGTCTCAGATGTCCGAGCACTGGACTTTGATGCCAGATCATATACCCCAGAAGGAGTGACATTCAATATCAGCAGATGCATCAAAACGTCTATTAGGTCAGTATCTTATCAGAGTTTCCCCACTACACCGGCACTATGCCCGGTGGCTTGCCTACGCGCATATGAGGATCGCACCAAGCTACACCATTCCGCATCCTCCCCCCCATCTATTTTTATCTACCCGTCCGCCGTTGCAACCCGTAACTAGCACCACTTTGTCTCGATGGGTTAAATGGCTACTCTCTCAAGCCGGTATTGACACTGCAATTTTTGGCGCCCATTTGATCAGGGGGGCCTCTGCATCTTCAATGATGGCTTCAGGCACGCGCCTGGAGGACCTCATGAAGATGGCAGACTGGTCGAGGGAATCTGTTTTTCGGGAATTCTACTTCAGACCGGTTCCTCATACGTTCGCAGCAGTAGTCGATCAGCTTTAAACTTGCAATATGAGCCTCCGTGTCTTGTCGTAAAATTGCAAGATTTTGCTATTCCATGACGAAAAGTCATGACTTTATTAAAGACACGGAGGCGAGTATTGTCCCACCCATTTTATACTGCTCAGGTTATGACTTGTTTGTTCCTCCCCCCCCCCCAGTTTATTTCAATATATAGGCGACACGTATCGCTTTGATTGGTATGGTAAGTGGGATCTGTGTTGGAAAGGATTTGACTATGTAACTGTCAGTTGGGTCTATCGGGTTATTTCTCTGCAGATGTTGGTTGGGCCTTGCTCTGTCTGGCCTTGATGTCAGTCTCAAGTACCGATTTCACCCTTGGGCTCCTGTTCTTTATGTTTTCACAGCCTAATCCGCTCTGGTGAAATGTCTGATTTCGGCATGTCAAGACCTCTCCCTGCGAATACAGTTTGGTCGGCAGTCATCAAGTTGTGCTTCCATGTTAATTGATGTTCTGATCCTCCTCTTGGGTTGAAGTTTCTACGTTTTTGTTTATCTCTGGACTATATTGCTTTTCCTGTTTTGGACTCTGTGTGTAGTGTCGCATCTTCAGAAAGAGGGAAATGGAAGGGAAGTGCTGCCTATTATACTGAGACCTGTGCAGGGAGGGGCCTATGTCACTGTATGTTCATTGTTTTTTCATTCTGTTTATATTCTTTGCTGCTATTGGTGGACAGTAAAGAAAGGGATATGCAATACTCGCCTCCGTGTCTTAAATAAAATCATGACTTTTCGTCATGTAATAGCAAAATCATGCAATTTTACTACTTTGGCAAAATCACAAACAGGTGTTTAACAAACTTCTAAGTCACTTTGAATTCATTAATGGGCAAGTCTGTACATGTACACATACTCACATCCATACCTTGACACTCTGCTCTATAAGATGTGACCTGGGAAAATTGTAATCTATAGCAAAAAATGGCTTTAGAACACAACCATTTATAAACTGAATTTTTTTTGTGTGTGCTAGTTTCCCATTATGCTTGCATTATGACTTTGTATGGTGGGTACATACCTTTTTAAAAAAAATAAAAAAAAATTATATTTTTGTAAAGATTTTGACTCTCCTGATCTGTGTACTTTGCTGTCACTGAAAGCTTGTGAATATTTTCTGGATTCCTGGTTTAGTTTGCTTTGCATAATGTCTGCCTTGTGTTTGTCAACTAATGGTTTCCAATGAATTACAAGTAAACTAAATCGCACATACTTGGTTGAGTGTAATGGAAGGTGTAATCGGACCAGAGTGCTTTAGCTCTCAAATTAACATTAACTGTTAACATTATTACAATATGTTGCAACATTTTGTGCTGCATGCAAAATCATCTCTTGCTTTGTTTTACATTTCCTTACTATTCTGTGCTGTTAGCTGGCACAACTTATTAGGTTTTTAATATCGCACTTTAGGCCACCTGTAAGGTTAGAGTCTCCAGTCCTGGATAACTGTGATCTGTTCTACAAGCACAAGGGTCCCTTTCAATACATGGTTTGGCGCAGGATGTTTAAATCCATCCATCCTGGTGAGTTGCACTGTTGTCGTCATACAGGTGTTCCTAGATCCCCATGTTGTCATACATGACCCAACTTTAGATCGAGAATTCCACATATCTTAGAATGAAAACGTCTGTTCCCATAAAAACTATGCAAGCTAAAATGCATGTCTGCCTTTTTTCTAGTTCCCGATCCAATGACCTATGACACCTCTTCGGCCCACACAAGTCTTATATTCTCCAATGACCTGAGAAGTGTGACAGATGGCAACAGATCACCTCGCTCTCATGTTGGAGACTCATCTCAAAGATTCCTGCAGTGCATCAATGTATTGGGGTCTCGAGTATATCATAGTGGTAAACATTACTGGGAGATCTGGGTAGGCAAAAAGACCAAATGGGATTTGGGAGTGGCTTCCTATTCTGTAGATCGCAAAGTCCGAGTTAAGCTAAGGCCAAAGAATGGCTATTGGACAATCCGCATGCTTGGCAATAATAAGTATGTAGCAGCCACTGAACCTTGGACTGCACTTGAAATAGAAACGCCTCCTAAGAGGATCGGTGTATATCTGGACTGTGGGGATGAGGAACTAATGTTTTTTGATGCTGAACGTATGGTCCACCTGTTCACCTTTACAGGGATAGAAGCAAAGGGCTTCTTCCCTTTTTTTAGCCCTGGTTTTCATGAGGACCAAAACTCTGAGCCATTGAAGATATGTCACTTGGTCCTATAATTCAGCATTTCACAGCTCTGATTCAATATTTTTGATGTTCTGCTGTAGAGCAGACCTATAAAGAACTATCTTTAGTCCGGACAGAAAAAAATTACTATTCCCAAAATGACTGCCAACATGTAGGGTGTTTGTCTAAAAGTATGTGTTTTCAGCTGAAAACACACACACACTTCTGTACTTGTCTTCATTTTGATATCTTTTCATTTTAGAAAGATACATTGGAAAGGCAAACCTCTCTATATGCTGTGTATCTTTGTCTACATTTTTTTTTTCTATTGTGCAAAAATTGCAGCTTCACTTTATATCCCTTGCAATAAAACAATTGATTTTTGTAGAATCTTACAGTAAATTTTTCATTTCAGTAGGTTGCTTGTATTTCATGATTTGGAATGAATTGTAATGAAATTTAATAAACTTTATACCTTGGTAGATTTGTACTTTGCATTATTGGTACAGGAATTAAATACATTGTAACAATTTTGATATTTTATGGAACTAAAATATAACCTTAGAACAAGCATGTCAAACTCAAAGGCTACCACAGGCCAAATAAACAATGGGCCACAAAAAAACAAAAGCTTCAGTTTTCATTGAAACGTAGGTTTATTTAGAAAAGTACAGTATAAAAAAGTACCTAACTGACACAGGATGTCCTCACGCGTGTAGGGCTTCAAAGTTAACAAAAGATTGAATTTATTTTAAGGAAACTGCATTTGCATATAACCAATGTTTCGTTACAACTACCTTGACCTATTAAGAAAAGTTTGGTAATGGGATTGAAATGGTAAGTGTATGCTGTTGCACAGTTGTAAAAAAAAAACTTATGAGTGTGTTCTGAAAGGACCACTATAGGTACTCAGACCACTTCAGCTTAATGAAGTGGTCTGGGTGCCAGGTCCATCTAGGGTTAACACTGCCTGCTGTAAAAATAGCAGTTTCGCTATGTTTATATTAGGGTTAATATCATTGACAGCCGCTAGAGGCGCTTCCGCGCTTCTCACTGTGATTTTTAACAGTGAGAAGACGCCAGGGTCCATAGAAAAGCATTGAGAAATGCTTTCCTATGGACTGACTGCGCATTCAGCAGATGATGTCGGAAGAGGGAGGAGAGTCCCCAGCGCCGAGGGAGCCTGGCAAGAATTTAACCCCTTCCTCCCCCTTCAGCCCAGAGGGTGGTGGGGACCCAAAGACTATATAGAGCCAGGAAAACAAATTTATTTTCCTGGCACTATAGTGGTCCTTTAACTTTGTCAAATTTGATTATCTCAGCCAATCCAATGCTTTCCCACAAGAAAGCATTGGGAGGCTATTGTGCATGTGATGCAAAAAGCTGTTCAGCCAGTCAGCATCTCCACAGGGATTGTTCAAGCGCCTCCTTGCGAACCCAATCTAATACACTACCCCTCCCCCCATTCTAATACACTGCCCACAAATCCAACACACTGCCCACAAACCAATACACTGCCACCCCCTTCCACTCTTATATACTGCCACTCCTCCCACCACTCTAATACACTGCTCCCCTCACTTCACCAATTTAATACACTGCCCCCCACCCAATTCACTGCCCCTTCCAACCATTCAAATACTGATCCCCTCCCACAATTTAGTAGACTGTGCCCTCCCACCACTCTAATACACTGCCTCCTCCTCCCCCAATTTAATACACTGCCCACTCCCTCCCCAAATTAATACACTGCCCCCCCTCCCATGACTCTAATACATTGTCCCATTCCCTCACCCAAATTAAGACACTGGCCTCCTCCCTCCCATACATTAATACACTGTCCCCTCCCTCCCTTAAAAATACACTTAGAAATTATATATGTTTAAAAGTATGTGTGTGTGTGTATATAATATATTTTTATATTTAATTATTTTTAAAATTGTGGTTTTCTTAATAACCTGTTGAGGGACCACTGAACAACCCAGGCAGAAAGTCCAGAGAATTTAATTTGCAAGCCCATGTTTTAAACCTGTAACTTTTAAAAACCCCATAAAGCCTGCACATAATGGGTACTGTTTTGTACTCTTGAGACTTCTCTGAACACAAATGTGAGTGTTTTTAAAACAACTCATATCATCAGTTAAAGTACAGTTTTTGTGTGCAAAATTTGACCACTAAATTTGGCCAGGGTTTGTGACTAAGTGGCTACTAAAGACTTGACATAACCCATTTTTAATACCTTGGGTTGTCTACTTTTACAAATGATATGCCATGATGGGAGTAATTTCATTCCTGGGCTGCCATACAGCAACATAGGCCCTGCAAACGAATCTGCCAGATTTCAAAGTGTAAAAACCGAAATGGGCATGCTCTTTATTTGAGCCTCTAACTTATCAAAACACCATGGAACCTGTATCTGGGGGCATCGTTTGACTTCACAGCTAGCAAATATGTGTTTTTATTGCAGTAAAAACTAAAAGCATTTTACCATTCTCCGTTAAAACGCAATACTGAACGTGGAAAATACAATTTCTTGGTTTTTCACACTTTTTTTTAGATGTTATTCATATTAAATTGTGTTCCATATATGATGTGAAATGAAAGCCATATTTCTCCTGTACAAGGTGATCTATAATACGTGTGGGTTTTGTTTTTGGTCAGTACAATCTGACCAAACTTTAGTGTCATGAATCCAAACATATTCCTGACACACTATTTTGGAATCTTCATTTAGGCCACAAGCCCCCCTCTATATACTTTTTTTCAGCTCTGCATGGGTCTTGCCCCCCTCTCCGCCTTCTTGCCTAAGATTATCAAGCCTGCAATGCGCCAATCGGCATCTCCTCATAGAGATCCATTAGAGGGTCAATGACACACAGTGTGCAGCACTGACGTTCTGAGTGGTCGAAATGTTGCATTTTGGTTCTTGGGTCCAATAAAATTGCCTATTCTTTGGAACATTTTGGAGAGCCTGGATTACTTTTCTACTAATATATGCTATATTTGGTCTCTTTGGTACTGGGACTGATCCAAGAGCACCCTAGGATTCCAGGGCGAAGGGCGGAGTGCAGTTCCACAACTTGTCTATGGATGTATATGTGTGTATGTCTCAGTATGTGTGTGTCAGTATGTATGCCTATATGGGTGTATGTTTGTCTGTTAGTATGTATCAGTGTGTGTGTATCTGTGTCCTTTTGTATCAGTGTATGTTTGTGCAGTGGCGGCTCTAGACTTGGCGAGGCCTTAGGCGAAACTCATACATGAGGCCCCCACTAACACCATTTTTGAAAAAAATAGTTGATTTGTGTGTGTATAAGAAGCTGTAGATATACTGAAGGGGGAGCTTGCAGCATTGGATATAGTGAGCTAGTCTTTGTATACATGGTTGCATTGTCTACTTGTGT